CTGATAACGCAGCAGCTCCCGCGGGCTCCTGCCGTGTCAGGGACGATGGCACCAACAGCCACCCGTCCCTCCCAGCAGCCGCCTCTCGCAGCCAGCTGGGATGATGCTGCACACACCGGGGCTCTCGTAGCTCCAGCTGCGCTCGGCTTTATTGCAGTGATGCTCCCGAGGAGGAGCTTGCGGGAGGTGCAACCACCTGAGCTGAGATTCGGGGGCTCGTTTGTGTGAAAAGCCCTTCCCAGGAAAGCCCTTGCTCCCAACATGCTCGCTTGTACAAGTAGCTCTTGATTCGCTTAGGAGGGGATTTTGGGAAGGATGGGAAGGAAAGCCCTGCATGTGCTTGGTCGTTAAGTGGAAGCTGGGAGAACAGTGCAGCTTTGGGCTTAAAGTGCAAATATTTAAGACAGCAAGCTCTCTCCCCACTTAACCAGTGATCTTCCCAGGCTGCGATGAGTTAAGCCTCCAGACGCCCATTTAGCACCCATTGAGTGCAAGGCAGGGATTTCTCTGTTCCCCTGTCGGAGGCTGAGTGTTGCCTGTGGTGCTGCCTGGTCCCTGCTGTGGGGGTCAGGGTCTGGGGCTTGCTCCCCAGTTGTCACTGTCTTTTTCTTTTCCCCCACCCCACCAAAGAGGTGGCCCTGCAGCCTGCTCCGGGTCTGACCTGGAGGACTATCGGAGGGGTGCTGGATATTTACATCTTCCTGGGGCCCGATCCCAACATGGTCATCCAGCAGTACCAGCAGGTGATAGGTAAGTGCCTGCACTCCCAACGTGGCCATCTGCAGGCACCTCCCCCATGCCCCCATCCCTGTCTCACCTCAGCTTCACCACCGTCCCCAGCCCTCGCAGCTGGGGAGGGATCAGTAGTCCCCAGCCATCTCATCCCCATCCCTCCCAGCACATCAGGGGTCAGCAATCACCTCCTTTCTCCCCCTCTCCTTCCCTTCCCATCCTTTTGAGACACCACTGTCATCTTGGGGCACCCCATCCACGCTCCTGCTCTCCTGCTGCAGGTTTCCCAGCCATGCCACCCCTCTGGGCACTCGGCTTCCACCTCTGCCGCTGGGGCTATGGATCCAGCAATGAGACCTGGCAGACCGTGAGAGCCATGAGGAATTACCAGGTCCCCCAGGTAACCCCTCAGACCCATGGAAGGGGAGGTCTGGGCTCTTGTCAGCCATCCCTGAGCCTCTGTCCCGCAGGATGCACAGTGGAATGACATCGATTACATGGATGGGTACCGGGACTTCACCTTCGATCCCCAAAAATTTGCCTCCCTCCCCTCGCTGGTGGAAGACCTCCACAAACATGGGCAGCGCTACGTTATGATCTTGGTACTCCCTCTCCTCTCCCCCTGTGCTGTCTTTGCTGCAGAGCTGGAATGTAAGACAGAGGTGTAAGGGATGCTCACGGTCCTAGCTGATCATCCCCAATGCTGCGGATTTTTATCCAAAGCTGGTCCCCAGTGCTGGGCAGGCAGCTGTAAACTGCCACTGGAAATCCCCCTAGCACAGGGACTGCAAAGACAACAACCAGGTTCTCGTGCTGTGCTCCTGTCTGCTGCAAGGAGTACTAGGATGCCCCTGTCTCCTGTGGGTGAAAGAATGGAGGAACTGTGGGTCAGGCTGTTTAACTTGTGTGCCCCCGCATCCCCACGAGTGCTGGGATCTCATGACCCAGCTGTGATCTCCCTTCTTCCCTCCGCCAGGAAAGGGGATGCAGGTTCTCCTTGCTAGGGCCGGTGGGGACCAGGGCGTCCCGGGGAGGGAAAGGTTGGGAGGTTGGGTTCCCTCCTCATTGAACTCCCTGTTGTAGCCTGAGCCTGCCTGTGAGCCGATGTTTCTTGCATAAGCGCAAAAGTTCTTGTATTTTTGCCCTCCCTGCCCCCGCCAAATGCCCTAACGGGTCCTGAGGACTTGCAGAAGTGGCATGCCTGGAAGTGTTGAAGCAAGTTTCTGTTCCCCTTGAGGGAAACAGCCGCTGTGTGTGGGCTCTGGCTGACCCCATCTGGGTTGTTCTCTTCTCTGAATCACACCGGTCTGGCAGGGGGAAGGGGCCACGGTCTGCCAGGAATGGCACTAACCCTCTACTCCATCCCCAGGATCCTGGCATCAGCAGCACCAACCCTCATGGCTCCTACTGGCCTTTTGATGAAGCCTTGAGACGGGGCTTGTTCCTCAACACCACCCAAGGGCAGCCGCTCATCGGGCAGGTGAGGAGCTCCGGGGGGAAATCCCAGCCCTGCAGAGTTGTGCAATAGCAGGGTTAGGATTTCATCCCTCTTGCTGGAGGAAAAGCACAGCGGCCGAGGGACCTCTCTGGGATGACTGCCAGAGCCTGGCTCAGCCCTCGGCCTCGTGTGTCACCTCCTGGTGTTCTCCACCGACCCTGGGAGCCAGCCCCTGCCCCAGCGGAGGACCCCGTGGAAGTCATATGAGCTTAAAGGAGTCGGCAGTGCTGCCCAAGGCCGGTCATCTGATTTGCCTCCCTTCCTGTTTCTGGGGTGAGGGGCGGTTGTCTGCAATGGATGTGTGCCTCTGGATCTGCTCCGCAGCGGTTCCCTCCCAGTTTGTCTTCCCCAGCCACTTGCTCCCACCAGCTCTCCCTCGCCATCTACGAGGAGCGGGCTTTTGATGTAGCCTGAAAACATGGAGAAAAATGAATTGGCTAAAATTCCTGGAGTGAGGCAAAGTATGGAGAAATCGCGGCTCTTCCCTGATGTGCCCTGGGCTAGGTGGTGTCAGTGTTTGTGCAAGTGGAGGCAGAGCAGCCACTCCATCAGCTGCCACTGCCCACCAGGCCGTGGGGGAGCCCTCAGCACCCCGATGCTCCTGGGTACCATGGAGGCAGTAGGGATGCTGCGCATGCAGCATCCAGGACTCGAAGTAGTCAGCCTGGGTTTACCTTCTGGTTTACTGCCTGTTTCACCCCTGGTCCTTCAGCATGCTCACACCCCTGTGGCACCCCATTCCTCGTGGCAGCACACCCCAAATCACTTACTTGCTGAGCCCATGGTTTTGTTGTGTCCCCACAGGTCTGGCCTGGCTACACTGCCTTTGCAGACTTCTCCAACCCAGACACGCACCAGTGGTGGCTGGAGAACTTGCAGCGCTTCCATGCTCACGTGCCCTTTGATGGCCTCTGGATCGTAAGTCCCTCCTTGCACCCAGGTTACTCCCTGAGAGCAGCTCAGCTTGCACCTGGCGTGCATCCTGGCAGGACTGCCTGTCCCTCAAATCCAGCTTTTCCAGGTCTCTCCGCTAATCCCCAAAACCTCCCCCTTGAAATTGCTCCACAATTTTCTTTGCTTAGGACATGAATGAGCCATCCAACTTCATGGATGGGTCTGAAGATGGCTGCCCTCCAGGAGAGCTCGACAACCCACCCTACACACCGGGTAAGGAGGGAGATGAAATGCAAGGCTGTGCTGGTAGGTACTGCGTGCTTTGAGATTGCTGGCAACTGAGTGTGATGGGGGAAAACAATTTTTAAGAGACACTGTGTCTCTGTTTTACACCTTGAACGTCTCCATCCCTACTCCTCTGTGCTGGTATCCGTGCCCAAGCCTTTCACGCTTGTCGGGGCCATGTCAGGGTGCAGAATGGGACCATCTGCATGAGCTTTTGGCACTGGGTTGGCAGTGATGGCTGGCTGGCTCTTGTGTGTGGGAGGGCTGACCCAGAGCCAGTGAGCATAGAGGGGCGTCCGCATGCCCTGCAGCCGCCCCCCGCCGCCACGTGCCAACGGGGGCTCTCCCTCCTGGCAGCCGTGCTGGGCGATTCCCTCTCTGCAAAGACGGTGTGTGCCTCGGCGAAGCAGAAAGCCTCGGTGCACTACAACCTCCACAACCTCTATGGGCTGATGGAAGCCGAAGCCACGGCGAGGTACCCGAGCACCCTGCTTCCTGCCATCCTGGAGATGGGATGGGACAAAATCCTGCTGCTCAGGGCTGTGTAGGGATACTGAGTGCTGCTCAGGACTCAGGGCTACTGAGTGCCTGACTCAAAGGGGAGATGCTCTGGCTGCTCACTGCCTCCGGGATGGAAATAACTCAGCAGAGGAGGGGAGCTGACACCACTCTGGGAGGGATGGGTGGATGAGGCCAGTCCTGGTTCTGAGCCTTCCTCAAACCGCTCAGGCCAACCCTCCAGCAGCACAGGGGGCTGGACATCTCCCCCCACCATTGTAGGATAAGGCAAACTCCTGGGGGTCTGCTCTCACCTCCTGCCCCCAGCTCTCCCTGTTGAATTCCAGCGCACTGATCCAGATCCGGGGGAAGCGCCCCTTCATCATCTCCCGCTCCACCTTCCCTAGCCAGGGCCGGTACTCGGGCCACTGGCTTGGTGACAACCGGAGCCAGTGGAAGGACATGTATTACTCCATCCCAGGTGGGTGACATGGGCTGCATGCAGACCCCCTCCTACCAGCACCCCCAGCTCCATCAAGCTTTCTGCTTGTTTGGAGACCTCTCCGAAACTCTGTGCGCCCTGCTGACCGTCCCTGCCCTCAGGGCTGCTGAGCTTCAGCCTCTTCGGCATCCCGCTGGTCGGGGCGGACATCTGCGGCTTCTCTGGCAGCACCTCGGAGGAGCTGTGCACCCGCTGGATGCAGCTTGGTGCCTTCTACCCCTTTGCTCGCAACCACAACACCCAGAACGAGAAGGTTGAGGGCAGCGTGCCTGGTGGGAGGCATCCCAGGGGTGGGATGTGGGGTATAGGGTGTGGGATGGGGGATATGGGATGTGGGATGCAGGAGG